ATTTTAATCCCATATCAAACACAGTCTTTTAAAAAATAAATACATAAATAATTTCATGTTTTTAAGTACATATTATGTTACTCTACAGCCCCCCACCATGGGGGGCTGATGCTATGACGAGGGAGGCTGCAGCCCCCGCAGCACCCCCCTTCCCGTGCCACTGGACATAGGGAGCCATTTTCATCATTCTGCTTCATTTTATCTCTTTTCTCCAATCCTGTAGTGTTTTTTACAAGTTCTAATTAGTTGGTTATTGTTAAAAAAAAAAAAAAAAGGACCAATACAATCTAATAAATCTCCTAGGTACTTTGGAGGGGTTTTTTTTTGTTATTCAAAAAAGAAACTTTAGGCTAGGCAAAATAGATATTATTTGAATTTAAACACAAATAAGACAGACATAGTAATAGCTGTAATAGCAGTTCCTGAAAAAATATTTAGAATTTATTTCTGACATTTGAAATAGTACAGAAATGTTTCATGTATAATTAAGGACCTGTTGCTTTATATCACCTTCATGTTTTAGGCAGAAAGTGCTTCTTAGTTTGTCTGGTCTTAACAGCTTAAGAGCAAGAGTTCCTGCTTTTGTACAGCTGTCAGAAACATCTAAGGCGTAGCCTTAGAAAACAGGATGTTGCTTCAGTAGTTAGGGAAATGCCAGGCATAAATAATCTGATGGAAACTGGATGTGGACCATTTAGAAACCCGACTGGAACCAACAACATCAAGAGGGCTGTTCCTACAGAGGGGAGTCACCCCACAGCTACAGGACCTACGTTTTCTGCTTTCATAACTTCTACAGAGATAGTGCTCTGCTAAGATTAGTCACCCTTCTCCAGATTCTTCATTTTGCGGCAGCTCTCATACTGGTAGATGGGGTCCATGTGGATTGTACAATATGTCAAACTTACTCTTTACAAAGACTGAACCTTAATCCACGTCTCTCGAGTTTGATTTTAATTTGTGATTCTAATCTGTTTGTTCTGATTATTTTCAGAAGCAAACACAAAATTTTCAATAAAAATATTCTAAACACTTTCATTACCTTTTCTTATTTCTCTTACCTATTAGCACAGAGATTTTACAGCCTTCCTCCATCTGGAGCATAAGCTTTGCCTTGAAATAGAAATTGCTACTGGGGCCCCATGTTACCGCAGCAACCTTTAAGTCTTTAGATGATGGTTTTAAAATGAAAAGCAACAATAAGAAAATGTTTTATTATTTTTTTTTTACTATAACTATTGTTGTCTTTAATTCCATAAATATATTATACGTGTCTGATCCTCCTCAGCAGCTACTCTGAGCCTCTCTGTGATGCCTGAGTTCCTCACCCTATCTGTAAGGGAGAGCCCAGTCAGTCTGTAGAAATAAACTCACTTCAGCTGTTTGTATCTGGGTTCTCATTCTTTGGGACAGGATTGAGATCAATGACCAAAGGTGAGGGTAGGCCGGCCCATAATTGAGAGCTTTGCCTTTTCAATCAAGTTTCTCTTCATCACTGTCTGCATCTATTGATCTCCTGCTCCATTCTACCCTCAATGATTAAAAAGACCCCAAGATACTGGAATTCCTCCACTAGAGACAGAAACTCTCCTCCAACCAGAAGGACACAAGCCAACTTTTCTTGTTGATAAACGGGAATAATTGCCCCAGACTTGGAGGAGCTGTTTCAGACTCAGCTGCAAACCATCCCAAAAGACGTAGGTCTCTGGAGGATGAAGCCAGCAGAACCACATCATCCCTAAAGTAAGGACGAGAGCCACTGGTCCCCAAACCAGACCCTACAAATCCTGTCCATGAAGATTCTGAACAGGACCGCTGACAAAGGGCAGCCCTGACGAACAGGTCAGACTTGACGCAGACTTAAAACCTACCTTGTTCATACCGGGAAAACACAGTATCCAACTTCACATAGCAGCTGCTGAACAGAAGAGAACCAGTGTAGGTACCACAACTGCTTGGGCGGTCAGATCTGCTCGTGGCCCTGCCCGTCCAGGCCCTTTTTTTACCCTTTTGATCAGTTAGGTGGTGTATACATTCCAGAGGGTGTCTGTGATGTGCACCCCCAGGATTTTTGCGCTGCTGACCACCTCTACAGCTGAGCTGTTGATGACCAGTGGAGTGTGGTTAGGACGGTTCTTCTTGAAGTCCAAGATGATCTCCATCTTCTTCTCCACGTTCAGGATCAGGCTATTGTCTCTGCACCAGTCCACCAGCTGCTCCACCTCCTCTCTGTACCCCTGGTCGTTGTTGTCTCTGATGAGGCCCACCACCGTGATGTCATCTGCAAACTTCATGATGTGATTAGTGGTGAACCTGGGCTTAGACTGGTGACATCAGAGGTGTTCTTTCCGACCCGGACTGACTGAGGTCTGTTGGTGAGGAAGTCTAGCAGCCAATGGTGGAGGGGTGTATTGAAGCCCAGCTGTTCCAGTATTATTGTCAGATGCTGTGGGTTGATGGTGTTGAAAGCTCAACTAAAGTTCAGGAACAGCATCCGCATGTGGGTGTTCTTCTCCTCCAGGTGTGATAGGCCTAGGTGGAGAGCAGCAGAGATGACGTCCTCAGTGGAGTGGTTTTGTCGGTAGGCAAACTGGAACGGGTCGAATGCTGGTGGCAGACTGGAGACAATGTGTTGGTTAACATTTTGGTTAACATCAGGCCCTCCAGGCTAATAGCATTGTCCGGTATCACTGAATGAAGCCAAGACTCAGACAGAATGATGACGCAGCAGTTACTTATCTCCTTTTTGGAAGAGTGTTTGAGTCGGAGATTACCCATTTTGTTATCCAGTGAGCGGATGTCGGAGTGCAGGATTGATGGGATCTGTGTTTTGTGGGGATTCCTTCTTAGCCCCGCTGTTAGCCTGCCTCTGTAGCCCTACCTACGCCACCTAGCACCCTGCTTTCTCCGACCTGACCTGCTGAGCTTGCACGCTGCTTTGTTTACATCCGTCTGTAGCACTCCACAGCTTTTTAAGCAGTCAAGACTGGCTTTATTTAAAGCATTTTGTGACTGTAGCTTCAGCAGGGATTGATGGTCATAGATGCAGGATCGATGCCTGGTTTGTAGCGTTCTGAAGGGCATATTTTGTGGCATTGTCGAGAGCTGTATTAGGTCGCTGTCACCAGGCACCGCTATAATGAAAATTTAGACAAAGAGAACAGTTCTTATACTTGTAGAAACCAAACTGTTGTTGTAAAGACAAAGTTGAAAGTAGTGGGGTTTGAGTTCTTTATTGTTGTTCTGTTTAGACATTTTTGAGACGTTCTTGTGGAGCATGACTGGCCTTCCTGTCTGTTAATGTGTAGACATGAAATTCAATTATTTTATGTTTGGTTGACTTGTTAGATCGAAAAAACAGATGTTTGCAGTGATGTTATGAGATGAGCCGAAGCTTCGTAGCATGTGTCGGGGAATGCACAGGCCGTTTTGAAAAAGCACTTATCGAGGCTTGCTTGATTAAAGTTTATTGATCTCACAATGGAGAAATTAACTCTCTGCATTTAACCTGTCCACTTTGGGGAGCAGTGGACTGCCACTGAGCAGTGCCCAGGGAGCAATAGGGGGTTAATGGTCTTGTTCAGTCACCCAGAGTGGCAGTCTGTGGGATTGGGTTTTGAACTCACAACCTCAGGAATCCAAGCCTGCCACTCCCCACTAAATGTAGAGGTGGAGCTGAAATTGATGATGTCTGAGGCCTCGCTAGTCGGCTATACCACATGACCGCTTCAGGAAGTGGTTCAGGTAGACCATGAACCATTACAGGTGTTTACGCAGCTCAGTATTCAGTCAAGATGGGCGTTTGCAGGAGAATTGTGGTCAGTTGAGTGTTTGGATAGAGGAGCTTGGAGATAGTAGAGATGATAGGTATAGAGCCAGCTAGAAAGAGGAGGCTGCTACTTATGCGTGAGTATTTCAATCAACACTACATGAAAAGTTAGACCATCGAAACTGCAAAGAATACTACTGCTTTGCTAGAATCTTTGGCCGTTCAAGGCCCAGGGCTCACCTTTCTGGCTCTTCATGCCGGGCTTACACTGTATGATTTTTTGCCCTTTTTGGGCCGACTTTTCAGTCTTGTGGGAAA